GGTACTCAGTACTTTTAAGAAAGTAAAGGAATCCTGAGGCAGAAAAATTTGAGACTGCTGTCTTAGAGACGAGAAGTTACAAAATGCAGATCTCATTGGATGCAGTTTCATTTTTTCATGGATAAACTCTCAAGTTTCTGTCTCCATTTGGTCACTCTCCAGAGCCTTGAAAAAATGTTTTTTTTTTAAACCAGATTTTATAATTTTTATCTAAAGGAGGGTTAATCGGTCCAACCAGGCAAGGAGGGACTTCCCTGGTGGCGCAGTGGTTAAGAATCCGCCTGCCAGTGCAGGGGACACGGGTTTGATCCCTGGTCCGGGAAGATCCCACATGCCATGGAGCAACTAAGCCTGTGCGCCACAACTACTGAGCCTGCGCTCTAGAGCCCATGCACCGCAACTACTGAGCCCATGTGCCGCAGCTACTGAAGCCCATGTGCACTAGGGCCCATGTGCCGCAACTACTGAGCCCGTGTACCGCAACTCCTGAAGCCCATGTGCTCTAGGGCCTGCTTGCCGCAACAACTGAGCCCGTATGCTGCAACTACTGAAACCTGTGTACCTAGAGCCTGTGCTCTGCAATGAGAGAAGCCACCGTAACAAGAAGCCCGTGCACCGCCATGAAGAGTAGCCCCCGCTTGCTGCAACTAGAGAACGCCCACGTGCAGCAATGAAGACCCATCACAACCAAAGGTTAAAAAAAAAAAAAAAAAGAGAGGAGGAAGTGGCAGTTATTGACTATCAGCTATGGTACTGTGCAACATAATTGTGACTCCGCCTGTTAATCCTTAGACACATTTTGGTGATGAACTATTACCGTATTTTATGGACAAGAAATGAGGCCTGGGTGCTTGTAGTAATTTGCCCAAAGTCATTTTGTCAGAAGTTGGTTTAAGCAGGATAGTAGGTCACGCTTGCCTTCAAAGACCCACGTTTCTATTTTACTCTGCTCTTTTTGGCTTCAGAGATTTAAGAAAATGTAAAATTACATAAGGAAGTATTAGAATAGGTTTCTAAGGCAGATTTTGGAATTTTAGTTTCTTGGGCTTAATAAAATAGATAAAAATCTTGGTGGTATGTATATGATCCTGCTTGAAGACAAGGAAATTAAAGAAATGACCTTTTAAATTCTTTTTAGTCTTGTAATTTCGTGATTCTATATATCTAGCAAAAATTTGAAGTACTTTTCATGAGATGTTAAGTTTAGGTATGGCATGATCTGAGAATAGAACTGTTTATGCTCTTTTTAAAAAATTTTTTACTTATTTTGGCTGCGCTGGGATCTTCATTGTGGCATGTGGGATCTTTAGTTTGCGGCACGCGGGCTTCTTAATTGCAGCATGAGAACTGTTAGTTGCGGCATGCGTGCGGGATCTAGTTCCCCAACCAGGGATCCAACCTGGGCCCTCTGCATCGGGAGTGAGGCATCTTACCCACTGGAGCACCAGGGAAGTCCCAGTCAGTGACTGACTCTTACCTCACTGAAAGATAAGAAGAAAGATGGAAGAAAGATTATTATGGAAGAAAAATTCTTTCTTATGGAAGAAAGATTATTAACTTTAGAATATTAATAAAAGAAGAATGACTTTAATAGTATTGAAATGTGTTGATATTTTTCATACCCACCCAGTAGACTGGAATGACATTTATTTCAGTACTTAAATTTCATAAGGCAAATGTAAAATAAATTTTCATTATAGTTGTGCTCTTGTTGAGAAACTTCCCAAACTACAGTGTAACAATAGGTCAGACTTGTGACTGATACCACCATTATAAACAATTTATATTTCTTTATTTGCCTTCTGTCCAAACACCAAAGTGTCACATGGATCATTAGAATGGGGGGAGTGGAGATTTTTTAAACGCTAAAGTTTTGGGAGACTAGACAGTTGAGGATCAGTCAGTGATGAGAATATGATGTTTCTGAAATGAAGTAAATCAAAATGAAAGCAACATTGAGTTGCCTATAACATTTTTAGGAATAGGATTATTTAAATTAATGTTTATACTCTCTTTCATTTAAATAGTAATCATAATGTCTGTAGCTTTTCTGGATATTATACAGAAGGAAAAATATTTTATATTTCCTCTTCTTTCAAATTGGAAGTTTTTGGAGTTCTTTGCTGTTATTGTGTTAAAAATTTTATTGTAATAAAAAATGGCAGGAGATATCTTTGAGACTACATAGCATAACAATGAAGAGTACGGGCCCTAGGGAATTCCCTGGCAGTACAGTGGTTAGGACTCCACGCTTCCACTGCAGGGGGCATGGGTTCGATCCCTTGTCAAGGAACTAGGATCCTGCATGCAGAGCAGTGCAGCCAAAAAATACATAAATAAATGAAGTGGTCCAGAAAAAAAAGAGTATGGGCCCTACAATCATATGGCTTGTATTAGAATTCTAGTTTCTTTTTTTTCTTTTTTTTTGCGGTATGTGGGCCTCTCACCGCTATGGCCTCTCCCGCTGTGGAGCACAGGCTCTGGACGCGCAGGCTCAGCGGCCATGGCTCACGGGCCCAGCCGCTCTGTGGCATGTGGGATCTTCCCGGACCAGGGCATGAACCCGTGTCCCCTGCATCGGCAGGCGGACTCTCAACCACTGTGCCACAAGGGAAGCCCCTTCTTATTTTTATTGAGGTATACTTGATGTACAATATTGTATAAATTACAGGTGTACAACAGTGATTCACAGTTTTTAAGGGTTATGCTCCATTTATAGTTATTATAAAATATTGGTTATACTCCCTGTGCTGTACAATGTATCCTTGTAGCTTATTTATTTTATACATAATAGTTTGTACCTCTTGATTTCCTCCCCCTTCCCTCTCTCCACTGGTAGCCACTAGTTCTTTATATTTCTGATTTTATTTCTGTTTTGTTACATCCATTTGTTTTATTCTTTAGACTCCACATATAAGTGATTACAGTATTTGCCTTTCTCTGACTGACTTCCCTAAGCATAAGACCCTCCAGGTCTATCCATGTTGTTGCAAATTACAAAATTTCATTCTTGTTTTATGGCTGAGTAATATTCCATTGTGTGTGTGTGTGTATATATGTATCTATATCTATATCACATCTTTTTTTCCTTTTTGCTATTTAAAAAATTTTATGCCATTTTTAAAGATTTTCCATTTACAGTTATTACAAAATATTGGCTATGTTCTCTGTGTTGTACAATACATCCTTGAGCCCGTCTTACAGACATAGCTGTTACCTCCCACTCCACCCCTGTAGTGCCACCCCTCCCACCCCGTGACCAGTAGTTTGTTCTCTAGATCTGTGAGTCTGCTTCGTTTTTGCTATATTCACTAGTTGGCTGTATTTTGTAGATTCCACATGTAAATGATATCATACAGTATTTGCTTTTCCCTGACTTGTTTCACTTAGCGTAATGCCCTCCAAGTCCATCCATATTGCTGCAAATGGCAAAATTTTGTTCTTTTTTATGGCTGAGTAATAGTCCGTGTGTGTGTGTGTGTGTGTGTGTGTGTGTGTGTGTGTGTGTGTGTGTGTGTGTATGTTGATACCACATCTTTATCCATTCATCAGTTGATGGACACTTAGTTTGCTTCTATATCTTGGCAATTGTAAATAATGCTGCTATGAACATTGGGGTCCATGTATCTTTTCGAATAAGGGTTTTTGTTTTTTTCAGATATATACCCAGGAATGGAATTGCTGGGTCATATGGTAGTTCTGTTTTTAGTTTTTTGAGGAAACCTCTGTACTGTTTTCCACAGTGGCTGCACCAACTTACATTCCCAATAACAGTGTATGAGGGATTCCTTTTCTCCACATGCTCACCAACATTTGTTATTTGTGGTCTTTTTTTTTTTTTTTTTTTTTTTTTTTTGCGGTACTCAGGCCTCTCACTGTTGTGGCCTCTCCCGCCGTGGAGCACATGCTCCGGATGTGCAGGCTCAGCAGCCATGGCTCAGGGGCCCAGCCACTCTGCGGCATGTGGGATCTTCCTGGACCGGGGCACGAACCTGCGTCCTGTGCATCGGCAGGCAGACTCTCAACCACTGCGCCACCAGGGAAGCCCTATTTGTGGTCTTTTTGATGATAGCCATTCTGAAGGGTGTAAGGTGCTATCTCATTGTGGTTTTAATTTGCATTTCTCTGATGATTAACAACGTTTTCATGTGCCTATTGGCCATCTGTATATCTTCTTTGGAAAAATGTCTTTTCAGGTCTTCTGCCAATTTTTTGATTCATATTGAGTTGTTTTTTTGATATTGAGTTGTGTGAGCCATTTGTATATTTTGGAAATTAACTTATCAGTCATACCATTTGAAAGTATTTTCTCCCATTCAGTAGGTAGTCTCTTTGCTTTTTTGGTGGTTTCCTTTGCTGTGCGAAAGCTTTTAAGTCTAATTGGGTACCATTTGTTTATTTTGGCTTTTATTTCCTTTCCTTAAGGAGAAAGATTCAAAAAAAAGAATTGCTACAGCTTATGCCAGAGTGTTCTGCCTATGTTTTCTTCTAGGAGTTTTATGGTTTCTGGTCTTACGTTTAGGTCTTTAATCCATTTTAAGTTTATTTTTGTATATGGTGTTAGAGAAAGTTCTAATTTCATTCTTTTACACGTAGCTGTCCAGCTTTCCCAGAACCACGAAGGCTGTCTTTTCTTCAATGTATAGTCTTGCCTCCTTTGTCATAAATTAATTGACTCTAAGTGTGTGGGTTTATTTCTGGGCTCTCCATTCTGTTACACTGATCTATGTGTGTTTTTGTGCCAGTATCATACTGTTTTTTGTTTGTTTGGCCATGCTGCATGACTTGCGGGATCTTAGTTCCCCGACCAGGGATTGAACCCGGGCACTTGGCAGTGAAAGCGTGGAGCCCTGACCACTGGACCTCCAGGGAGTTCCCCATGCTGTTTTGATTACTGTAGCTTTGTATTACAGTCTGAAGTCAGGAAGCATGATTCCTCCAACTCTGTTCTTCTTTCTTAGGATTGTTTTCACTATTTGGGGTCTTTTGAGTTTCCCAAGAAACTTTAAAATTATTGGCTCTAGTTTGGAATTCCCTGGTGATCCAGTGGTTAGGACTCTGCTTTCACTACAGGGAGCAAGGGTTCAGTCCCTGGTTGGGGAACTAAGATCCTGCATGCTGTGTGGCACAGCCAAAAAAAAAAAAAAAAATTCTAGTTCTGTGAAAAATGCCTTTGGTATTTTGATAGAGATTGCACTGAATCTGTAGATTGTCTTGAGTAGTATGGTCATTTTAACAATGTTAATTCTTCCAATCCATGAACACGATATATCTCTCCATCTGTTTGTGTCATCTTTAATTTCTTTCATCAGGGTCTCATAGTTTTCTGAGTGTGGGTCTTTTACTTCCTTAGATACGTTTATTCTTAAGTATTTTGTTATTTTTGATGTGATGGTAAATGGGATTGTTTCCTTAATTTCTTTTACTGATAGTTCATTGTGTATAGAAATGCAACAGATTTCTGTATACTGATTTTGTATCCTGCAACTTTACTGCATTCATTAATGAGTTCTAGTAGTTTTCTGGTGATTTCTAAATTAAAATTTTTTTTATTGAGTATAGTTGATGTACAGTGTTGTGGCAATCTCTGCTGTACAGCAGAGTGACTCACTTATACACATACAGACATTCCTTTTTTCATATTCTTTTCCATTATGGTTTATAATGGAATTATAATATAATTCCATTATAATATATAATTCGATATAACTATATCGAATATAGTTCCCTGTGCTATACAGTAGGACCTGGTTGTTTATCCTTCCTATGTATAATAGTTTACATCTGCTAATCCCACACTCCCAGTCCTTCCCTCTCAGGAATTCTAGTTTTAGTGCTTACTTCCTTTGTGGCATTGGGCCATCTCAATTAGTTTTTGCTGCTGCTGAGGTTGCCTCTCTTAAAAGTATTCACCAGAAGCTTTAAAATGCTATTTGCTTAAGTAGAATAGAATATAAACTAATAGAATTACTTAACACTTACTTGCTATAAAAAGTATCATTTGCTTCCTTAGAGCTCCTAGAAGTTAAAAACTTAGCACCTAGCTGGGAAAAAATAAAACTACGTAATGTTTTTTGGCTGAAAAGGTTCAGGTTTCATCAGAGATAGATGAGACGTCTCTTCAGACATTTTTAGTTCTATTATTTCATCGTTTTTATCTTCTTTGTATATTTTAAAAGATTTTTGGGGGGCTTCCCACGTGGCACAGTGGTTAGGAATCCGCTTCTCATTGTGGTGGCTTAGCACGGGCTCTGTGCGTGTGGGCTTCAGTAGTTGTGGCACATGGGCTCAGTAGCTGTGGCTTGAGGGCTCTAGAGTGCAGGTTCAGTAGTTGCTCCATGGTATGTAGGATCTTCCTGGATCAGGGCTCGAACCCACATCCCCTGCATTGGCAGGCGGATTCTTAATCACTGTGCCACCAGGGAAGTCCCTGGTGTATTTTAAAGTAAGTTAGTATTTAGTTGAATTTGTCTGCATTTAATTTTGTAGGTAGCCCTTTTCTTTATATTTTGATTTTATTTTTTATTTTTTTCCTCCTTTGACTTAGTAATTTTTCTCCTTTTTTCTTTGATTTTGATTTAGTAATTTGATTTTTTCCTCCTAATGAATTTTATATATACTGCAATTGGCAAGTCTAATGGGTGAGTCATTTTCTAAAAAATTGGTTGTAAATATGGCTGATGAGAATTTTGACTGTACTTTTCTATAGTGAGGAGGAAATGTTTAAATTACGTTTTCAGGGTAGTGCCCAAAATATTAAAATTCTCTCCCTATTACTGGAGCCATGTAGTAAGTCTCTTCAGCTACTTCCTTTTGTTCATCTATTGTTTTATTCACTTTTCATTCATTCATTTATAGAGTTCCTACTATGGATCAGGAATTGTTATTCTGCTTCCTGTTGATTAAAACAACCTCTCGGCTTCCCTGGTGGTGCAGTGGTTGAGAGTCCGCCTGCCAATGCAGGGGACACGGGTTCGTGCCCCGGTCCGGGAAGATCCCACATGCCGCGGAGCGGCTAGGCCCATGAGCCATGGCCGCTGAGCCTGTGCGTCCAGAGCCTGTGCTCCACAACGGGAGAGAGGCCACGATAGTGAGAGGCCCACGCACTGCAAAAAAAAAACCAACAACAACCTCTCTACCCTCCCTCACCTCCAGATTGTTAAATACTGTAACTCTTTACTCCATAGTCATTTTATCTATTCCTCAGCTATCAGTATAGTCAACCCTCCATATCTGTGGGTTCCACATCTGCAGATTCAACTGAGGATCAAAAATATTGTAAAAAAAAATTCCAGAAAGTTCCAAAAAGCAAAACTTGAATTTGTGGCACTGGCAACTATTTACATAGTATTTACAACTATTTATATAGCATCTACATTGTATTAGTTATTATAAGTAATCTAGAGATGATTTAAAGTGCACAGGATGTGCATAGTTTCTGTGCAAATATTACACTATTTTATGTAAGGGACTTGAGTATCTGATGATTTTGGTATCCTAGGGGGCTGTGGGAGAGACGTCCTTAGGCCAGTTCTCTGCGGACACCAATGGAGGACTGTATTCTTTCTGTTCCTCCCTCCATAAAGTGTACAACTAATGACTTGTAGGTGTTCAAGCAGTTAATCCCAAATTAGATCTCTGAACTCAGTTGCTTAAGCAAGTTATGGTTGGGACTTCCCTGGCAGTCCAGTGGTTAGGATTCCACACTTGCAATGCAGGGGGCATGGGTTCGATCCCTGGTCAGGGAACGAGGATCCCACATGCCATGTGGTGCAGCCAAAAATAAATAAATAAATAAAAATAAAAAATTAAGGAAAAAAAATTATGGTGGAAGTTAGGTTTTATCATGTTAGTAGAATTAGATTTAAGCCAGTTTAAAGGATGAAGTTCTTTGTGGACAGAGGGAGTCTTAACCCAGAGTCTTAGGTCTCTTTAAATTGTGTACATGCTTAATTTTTTTATACATGCTTAATTTTTTTTTTTTTCCTTGCGTTATGCGGGCCTCTCACTGTTGTGGCCTCTCCCATTTGCGGAGCACAGGCTCCGGACGCGCAGGCTCAGTGGCCATGGCTCACGGGCCCAGCCGCTCCGCGGCATGTGGGATCTTCCCGAAACGGGGCACGAACCCGTGTCTCCTGCATCGGCAGGCGGACTCTCAAGCACTGCGCCACCAGGGAAGCCCTATACATGCTTAATTTTTAATGTGAATATGCATGATTTTCCTGGCAGATGGTCCAGAGCTTTCATCGGATAAAGGAGCCTGTGACTCAAAAAAGATTAAATAAAAGCTACTATTTTAAATTTTGTTTCGTATGCATTTACTATTTAAAAAATTAATGTATTTTGTTTTGGTTGAGTACATATCCAAAGGCTTACTTGATCATGAAGTTTTTTTTTTTTTTTTTAATTAAATTTTGCCTGCGTTGGTTCTTTGTTGCTGCACACAGACTGTCTCTAGTTGCAGTGAGCGGGGGCTACTCCTTGTTGCAGTGCGTGGACTTCTCGTTGCAGTGGCTTCTCTTGTTGAGGAGCACGGGCTCTAGGCATGTGGGCTTCAGTAGTTGTGGCTCGTGGGCTCAATAGTTGTGGCTTGTGGGCTCTAGAGCGCAGGCTCAGTAGTTGTGACGCACGGGCTTGGTTGCTCTGCAGCATGTGGGATCTTCCCGGACCAGGGCTCGAACTCGTGTCCCCTGCATTGGCAGGCGGATTCTTAACCACTGTGCCACCAGGGAAGTCCGATCATGAAGTTCTGTACCCCACACACAGGTCTAATAGTTTTTAAGTCAGTGAAATTTGTCCTTAATATACCTCTACCTCCTTAGTCTTTTACTCAGTCTCTGGTATCCTGGCCTCAAGTTTTGACAGTCTGCCCTACCCTTAAAATGTTGAATGCTCCAAAATTACCTACTTCTTTCCTTTGTTTCCTGTTTCTATCCCCGTCTCCAAAATATAATGCTAATCTTACTTGGGTTAGTAGAGTGTAATTTTTTATTAATTTATTTAAAAAGATTTGAATGGGTGATAATCACTTGATCTCACAAAAAGTATTTTGGTTTCGTATGTTACTAAAATGCCAAAGGAAAATAAAAATGAAATTGAAATTGTTACTCTTCCAGGGAGAGTTCCTTATCCTATCAATGACTAAAGTAATTCACAGAAACTGCTTTTGGGCTCCTAGCCTGAATTCCTTTCCACCGTATAATGCTCAAGTTTTTAATGTTTTTAAGAGGACACCAGTGGAATTTCAGAAAAATGTAAGAAAAGTAAATAAACAGCTTTAGAATATTTGGGGGCAAGATATCTGTCATATGGCCTAGAAGGTTGTCTTCTGAAGTCAGTTTCCTGAAATTGTCTTTCCTGTCCTTTCCATTCTGTAGTTTTGAGGTCAGAATATTTTTATTAAAATTTAAAATACCCTGTAATTACAAAAATAATATAACCAAATCAAATGTTGTTTGTATTTCAGAAGTGACAGTTTCCTCCTCATCACTTCCCTTCCGCCCATGTCCTTTTCAGAGCTAACAGTGTTTAACTGTTTGATATTCTATTCCGTGTGTGTGTGTCATACCTTTAAAAAAAAAAGATCTGTTTTGTGCTACAACAGCCTTTTTAAAAAAACTTTATATTTTGTTGGCTTTTTTTTCCCAAGATAAGGCACAGACATTTATCTCATTATTTTAATGCTTGCATTGTAGTATACTGTATAATTGTACCATAATGTCTTTGTTTATATTCCTATTGAAAGGATATTTAATTTTCAATTTTTGCAGTTGTAGCACTGGGGTAGTAAGCATTATTGTACATACATTTCCAGACTTGTATGAATATTTCTATAACACTTCTAAAAGTAGGATTACTAAGTCAAAGGGAATGTGTTTTTTATTTTTGATAAATACAGCTTTGTTTTCCACCAAGATGATTGAATGTACTTCTGCTCTCCTCATGTATGGCACATGAATGTACACATTTCCTCAGTCCTCCAAAACGATTTTCATTATATTTTTGTCAATATAAAACTATCTAATTTTTATGTTTATTTTCCTGAG